CCTGTAATGCCCCAGCTGTTAAAGGATGCCAAGAAAATTGTGAGTAACTGAGAGACCTCCTACCCCAATATCATTGCTCTAAATCTTGCAACTGGAAAAAAAAAAATTCACCAGTGGACTAAACTACCTAGAAAGGGATGCTGTGTGGTACACTGACAACAACTCCAGCAGCAATAACCAGATCTAGATTTAGCAAGGAACCCCAGAAAGACTCCTCTTTGTGGCACTACTAAACTACTGGGTGAAGTTACCAGAAACTGCACATCCCACCAGAGAGTTGTGAGGTCAGAGCCTAGAAAACACATGGAAGCATTGCAGACACTGTCCCAACGATTCTGAGCCCTACTCCCACACTTTGGGAGCCCACCTTGCAGCACCAGTCAATCCAGTCAGTGAGCGCAAGTTCATTGGCATCCACGTGAAGGAAGAAACAATGGGCAGGGTCCTGTGAGCCCCATCCTAGACAGCAGGCTAAAGAGCTCAAACTGAGCTTGTGTTTGTGAATAACAGAAGGGCCCAGGCAGCAGGGAGAACTGTCAGTGATGAGAGAAACATCTCTGCTAGAAAATACACTGCTATCAGCTTTTGCTAGAACAAATGAAAAATCAGACACTTTTTAAAGCATGCGTACATTGAGTTTCCACTGGGCGCAGAGGGGAGTGATAAGGGGGTGGGAGGGGGTTTGAACCCGATGACCTCCAGAGATCCCTTCCAACCTCAACCATTCTGTAATATGTGGAAAAAAGAGAAACGTTAGAGGCCTTCGATCTCCTGGAATCCAAGCAATGATGGATTGATGGACTGCTCTGTCAGTTGGCTTTGCTGTGCTCTGCAGGCATGACAATGTCTTTGCCAACCTGGGGAGCCATGCCACACCACCTTAGTTTCTGTAGTGGTTCCTAGATGGTACCTCTGGCACTGAACTCTCAAGGTTTTTGCTCTCAAACTGAGAAATCATTTATAGCTCATGCAGCCTGAACTAAGGATGTGAATCTCCAGGTTATCTGATGCAAGGAAGTGATGTACTAATTGGCTGCAACAGGGGACTGTTCGTTTGGACCAGGTTGTGTTCAGCAGTGGGTCCCATCTATAGCACAGCTCCACCTCCCTTTCTGCACACTGAAGTACAAATCCCAGGTCAGGTGGGCCGAATGTGTCTGGCACATAGGATCACAGTGCAAAGGGCTATGGTGCAGTGTTACGAATGAGTGAACTGTTGACCTGGTGTGGTGGCAGCCAAGTGATTAAGGCTCCTGATTATTATATGGTAATGGAAGAAACAGGTCTGCCATCCAATAGGAGTAGCCCATGCACAGGTAATGTTGCACTGGCAAGGGTTAGGCAGAGACATTGACCATGATGGTAGGGCCATCCTGACTCTTCGACAAGGACCATGAGTGCACTGGATGAAGAGGAATGGAAAAAACTGGGAGTCTAATAGGGAGCCACGGTGTCATGGGAGGGACAGTTATCTGCTGGTTTTATTAACCTCTTTGTAGTTGAAAACTGAGAAAGAGGTGACGCCCATCACTTTTTCAGACAGGAGTGACAGAACATCTTGGGTTTCTCCTCTCCCATCTTTGTTACTGACAGCAGAAGCAGGCCAGACTGCTTCCTGAGCGATGGTGTGGCTGTGTCCTGGAGCGAGGTAAGGTGAGATCCATTGGGATATACCTTTCCTAGGCACACAGACATGAAGCAGTCAGCTGGAACTTCCCAACAGTGTCAGCATCCTATTTGACTCAGCATCTAGTGCTGTGCACAAACTAATTCATCTTCTCAGAACACTGGGATGTCTGCACAAAGGTATCCCATTCATTCTCTAGCCCTTACTGTGCTGCCCGGTATGTCTCCTCAGCAGTCTTCACCAGTGCCAAAGTATCTGGGTTTTCTCACTACATAAGATCCTGCAGTTTCAACTATACCACACATACACCACAAAGTAGCCGAACACACGTTTCTCTTTGGGAAACATCAAGCAGAATTATGGTGCCCAGTGCCACTGGAGAGATAAGTTTCAAGCAGCTACTCGGATCTTGCTGCTAACATTACAGACCATTTGATAACTACTTCCAATGTAACCAGTATGTGAGACACCTAAGTTCAAGTCCTCATCTGCTCAGAGCTGCAAACTGGATAGCTCAGAAGTGGGCAAACTTTCTGAAATGCAGTTTGACTACAAGAAGATTAGAAATTCTTGATTTGTAATGCACACAAATGGCTGTGGGCTCACAGGCTAGACCAGTCTTGTTCTCCCATGCAGAGATACAGCAGTGAAACTAAGCATGAATGCTGTAATTTTGTTCACATTGCGTGTTTGGCATACCACATCTGCTCATACAGTAGTCTATTCTCAGCTTCATTTAACAAGGTCAGGATATCTGCTTTCAAGCAGAAGGTATGGAGGAAGCCTGTCAAACACCTAGATTTTAAGGCCAGGACAAAATTGCTCAAAAGTGATCATAGCAGCAGTAAGACTTGAACCCACAGTTTTGACTATGCTTAACTTAGAAAGAAAATGTCTCTCATCTGAACATCAACATTTGGAGCATCTGAAGTTGCAGATCTACTTTATTGACACTGGTACAGCAGCAGAGTGACAGAAAATGTTTGTGTCCATAAGCAAATGGAAGAATACTTCCTACCAGTGTAGCTCTAGCTACTGCAAATCCACAGCTGGAAAGATACTTCGTGTAAGTTCTGGTTATCCCAGAGGAAGCTCATTTTTCACTTCCTAACACCACCTGGAAAGGAGAGGCTTTGTTTAGTCCACGCATGTCAAGATGAGTTTTTTGTTCCCTAAAATCATCTGTCTCAACGCACCATCCAGCTAGGATGCACAAGCGGAGCCCAGGTCAATGTAGTGGTGTCTGTAACCCTTAAGACCACACATCATCAAATGTCATGCTGTCGGACTGATGGGTTGAAATGGAGAAACATATCTGTTGGCTTTTCTGAAGTGCTACTTTACTGTTGCAGTGCTTAAACAACCTGCACCCCCATCCTCCGGGACAAGGAGTATCCCAGCATTTCCAAAAGTGAATGTAAAGCATGGAAGGGAGTAAAAGGATGTATTGATCCATTGGATCTATTAAAAGATTTAGGCATTGCAATGCTTAATTTTTAGGCCTCCCAGAGCAGAATCCAGAACTCATGCCAGGTGCCCAGGCTCCATATATACTACGCAGTATCAGGCACCTCAAAGTAGGATCTAAAACTGTAGCATATTGCAGAGTTGCCCATAGTCAGCACGTTCAACCTGCCTTTACCTGGGGATACCCCATAGGAGATATCTGAAATCTTGCCCCTGTCTAGGGGGGGCATTCAGTTAGAGATTCAGCATTCCCTCTATAAGGTAATCTCATGTCCAGAGACTTTGCTCAGGAACCTGGACTCAGCCTTCCAAGTGCTTCCCCTGGGGTCTTGGCAAGATACCCTGACAAGCACTGAGGAGTCAAAGCCTTTTACTGGAGCATGGCATTAAGTGACTCACTGAAAGTTGCGCACCAGCCTCTGGCAGAACCAACGTCTATTGAGTCTCAGGCCAGAGCCTTCAGGAGAAAGCATGTTCTCCATAGCGTCTCTTCTAGAGTTAAAATGCTGTATAAGTAAGAGGATGCTGTGGGTAAGAAGAAGGTAAGCTGGAGCCAAGGTTCCCCATTTCCTGGATATGTGCTCTAGGCACTAGTAATTTTTCCAAAACATGGACTGAGGGTGTTTTACCTCCAACCACAAACTGAGCTAGACTAGTGCAGTCAAAAGGTGTTACACCTGCTCAGATCACACTAGGAAAAATAGGCTCTAGATCTTGTACCGAACAGTCTTGGGTTGGAGATAGACAACTGCCCAGAAAGCTCAGCTAAGGACACAGTGCTGCTGCATATTTCTCAATCAGAACGTTAATTCTGCCTAAGGCTCTCAGGAAGGTTGTTTTAGGAATGCTCAGAGTTAGGTTGGCTCTCATTACTTTCACTTTATGAGGCAGTTTCTCAAATCTGAAATGAATGTGATGAAACTAGCCAGAAGGCTCATGCTCGGCACCAGAGCCTGAAATGACAGAGTCATAGAATCATAGTATCACAGAATGGGCTGGAAGGGACCTTCAAAGATCACCTAGTCCAAAACCCCTGCCATGGACAGGGAAATCTTTCACTAGATCAGGTTGCTCAAAGCCCCGTCCAACCTGACCTTGATCATTTCCAATGATGGGGCATCCACAACTTCTCTGGGCAACCTGTTCCAGTGTCTCACCACCCTCATCATAAAATATTTCTTCCTTATGTCCCACCTAAACCTACCCCCTTTCAGTTTAAAACCATCGCCCCTTGTCCTGTCACTACAGGCCCTGGTAAAAAGTCTTTGTCTTTCTTATAAGCCCCCTTTATATATTGAAAGGCCAGAATAAGGTCTCCTTGGAGCCGTCTCTTCTCCAGGCTGAACAACCCCAACTCTCTCAGCCTTTCTTCAAAGTCCCTTCCTTCCAGAACTGTCCTTTCTGAGTGACGGCTATACCCACCGGCAAGACACAAATCTACTGCTTGACTTGCTTGAGCGAACAGTACAAACTGCACACCTGCCTCCTGCAATAAAGGCTTACCTTTGTAGAAGGGGCTTCTCGGGTTTTAGCCCTGAGCTTGTTTACTTGACTCTCAGCAATATCTGCCCTTTCCTCAGCCTCTTCTAGCTTATGCTGTGCTTTTCTGAATTTGGAGAGATTAGTATTGGCTTGTTCATCCTGAAATGGCAGAACAAAAGAAACTAAAAACCATCTGGCAACATGCTGGGGCACAGAGCCAACTTTTAAACTGACAGTCCTAGAAAATGGTAAATAAGTATTTGCTTCAGTTTAGTGACTCACAGCTTCCTCAGCTTGTCTTTTGTAGGATTTGATTTTCATCTGCAGTTTATCTACCAGATCTTGTAACCTCATCATGTTCTTCCTGTGTTCTTCATTCTGTGGAAAGGGAATGTGCGATTATACGTCCCTGGGAGACAAAGCATCAGGAGAATTGCTTTCTATTTATACCCACCTGGAAAGTAAGCTCTTTGACACGCCGTTCATATTTGCGGATGTTTTTCATAGCCTCTGCAGATTGTTTATGTTCTTCTTCCAGCTCAGCTTCTAACTCTCGGATCTGGTGAATCAATCAACAATCGGCTTGAGCCCTAACACAGGACTCGGAGAAGAAAGGTGAGTTGACACCCATGTTCAGTGCTGGTACCCACCCTGGCCTCCATCTTCAAGAGTTGTTTCTTGCCTCCCTTCAGTGCCAACTGCTCGGCCTCATCCAGACGGTGCTGCAGGTCCTTCACTGTCTGGTCCAGGTTCTTCTTCATCCTCTCCAGGTGGGCGCTGGTGTCCTGCTCCTTCTTCAGCTCTTCTGCCATCATGGCTGCCTTGGAAGGGAGATGACACAAGAAAACTGGAAGAATGTGAAAGAACAGTGCATGCTGTGCACCATCTGAGGATTT